GCAGTATAATAAACGTAAATCCTTCGCCATGATTATAATGTGTTATATAAATCTTATATTCAGCTGAACGGAGAAGTGTCATCACAAGATAAACAATTATTATTAGAAAAGTTTCAATATGTTATCTATTTATTTTTTCAATGTTAAAAAAATGTCCGAGTTTTTAAACTATTTCATAATTGAATCAAAACAGATGAGACCCGTGTTCTAATACAACAATATTGACCCTAGTTGTGAGAAAAAAATTTGCCCATCACTTTTACGATAGGCAATGGAAACGAGTAGTAGATTAGGGTCCTACGCAAAAAATCATATTGTTTTTTTTAAAGTCGCGTAGTAGTTAAATAGTATTTATTTCAATTAAATTTGAATTTCAAACAGTTGATTCATTAATAACGACTAAACAAATAAATTAAAAAACGTCTTTTACACGTTTTTATTTTTTTTAATAAAAATTACAAATACTTTTAATTTAAATAAAATTTTTTTATTTTTTTTTTTATTTCAAGCTTTTATAAGTAATTTCTGAAATTCATGGATTGAAATTATGCATTTGAAAAAAGTTTTATAAACTTAATACATCTTATAAAATTGATAAGATTAGAGACATCTAATGTCTCAATTAATTCTAACTAATAACTAAATATAATTTTTTTTATTTAAAAAAAAAAAAAAACGAAATTCTCTTTTAATATAGATACGAACATTGAAATAAATATTAAGGTGTCACTTTGTTTGTCTATTTTACAGCGAAAAACCACGTAGCACCAATTGATAATTTTTATCATTGCATTTTCTTTATTGAGTCGTAAAACATAACCAATTGAGTGTAAACATTTTTTTTTACCGCCTCCGATCCGACAATGTAAATAAATAATGTGGTATATTCTATATGTTTGTTTTGCTGTCGTTCAGCTTTTTATGTTACTTTGTGTCTACGGAGGGAACAGGAGATATCATTGCAGTTTTCTTGTGTTACGATTTATGAAAAACATACAATAATAGCTACCAAATATATTAATATGCATTCAAGTTATTGGCAATATAAAATAATTTCTGCGGCAACAATTACTTATAGAATTAAAAAAAATAGAGACGTTATTTGGGGGGACGGGTTGGAAATGTACGGTTCATGGATAGGAGAAGTAAAATTTATCATCTATTTATTTATACGTTAATTCCAAAAGATTAATAATATTAGTAATAAAGCCGCTAACATTCTAGTGAGGAAGATGTTAGGTAATAGGTATATTGATTGATGTAGAACGTAATTAGGCGTGTGACAGTTGTTTATTTAGTATATTTTCCGGGGAAGAATTTTTTTTAATGTATATAGAATTTTACAATAATTTTTTCTTTGATGACTTTTTGATTATAATCCTTCAAAAAGTATTTTCAGTATAAAATTAGGTTACTGCATGTATGTTGGAGGGATGGGGCTTGCCTCTCTCTAACCTCTATATATACACCACTGATGTGTTGGAAATAATTTCTAATTATTGGCCCAATGACTTAAGTATTGTCAGCCATTTTTACACATCATGGAATATTTTTCTGCCGGCATTACAGGCCTATGGTGTGAATTAATTGGTTGTAAATTGAAGAGCTTTAATTGATATAAAATTTTTGCATACTAATTGTTGTTTAATTGAACCAATGAGAAATAATTAAAAATTGATGAATGGTTATTACTATGAATAATTTAGTTGTTTCTGTTAAAATATTGATTATGAACATTACAATACATTCATTATGAATCGATTGTTACTTTTTCTATGTCTATAAAATACAATACTAATTTCTTCTATAATTATTTTGAAAGATTATTTTTTGTTTTTAAATACTTCGAATTTAACATTTTAAGATAAAAAAATGTATTGTTTTAATAATACTGGTTTATTTTTCATAGAAAATATTGTGAATATTTTTTTGACCTTCTCTAATATTAATAGTAATATGTAAATAACTATTCTTAGATAATTATTTTTTATCTATTTGTGTGTACGAAATATAAATTGTTTACTTTTATATCAAAGTCGGGTATGCAACTAGAAATTTTAGGTCCTTTTGTTTTTACACGAATTTGTTTAATGCAAAAGTAATAATTATTATAAAAATCAATTTTACTAGAAAAATAGTACTATGACATTATTTTCAGATTTCTATCATAAATATTTAAATAATTATATGAGATTATAAAAAGAAATTAACGAAAACCACCTAAGTCACTTTAGTTTAAAATAATAAATGTTATTTTTAAGTAACTGATCAATTAATGAATAATTTTTATTATTTAAGTTTGTGAAAAACATAAATAATTAACTTTTTTTAAACAAATTTTAATTTTATCTTCCAATTTAATGGTGTTTTTATAAATATTCAAAATTATTATAAAATTGTCAGATGAATGGTTTAAAAAAAAACTATATATTTTTACACTTTGGTACAGAATATATTTTTAAATATTTATAATTGCTCTTTATAAAGCCAATGACCATATTGTTTTCAATTTTTCGATACTTAAATTATATTTTACTCGTATAATAAGAAATTCACAGTTTTTATTTTATATACCTATAGCAATGTTTATTTTTAATTAGATGTTTGTATAAAACAAATGGACATTCCTAAGATATTTTAAGTAAAATTATACATTTACCTGGCTCTTATCTTTTAATTTATATGTAGTGTATGTTTATTATAATTATTTCTATTGGTTAACCTATTTTTAAAATATAAAGCAATATATTATGATAATTTTTGTAGATTAAAATTTGATACAGTAATTGTTAATGTTAAATGTTAAATTATAATTTTTTACATTTTTTAAATATGTTAGATTTTTAATTAGTTATATTGCTCTTGATCACAATGATTGTATTAAATATTATTATACGTTAATATTAACATTAATATTTATTAAAAAAGTACAGAATTTCAATAAATTTAATTATTAGTTTATCGATTTCAACTATTAACTAACATTTTACTTAAGTATGGCTATTACTCTACTGGTATTTAAAAAAAAATTTCAGATTTTTTTAAGATTATGATAGAGAATATTTCCATTATATATTTTAAACAAAAAGTGTGTACTATTAATTTTATATAATTTATTTAAATAATTAAAAGATATCATTAGTTTTCATAATATTTAATATTAAATAGATTGATATTGATTAATATTAATTGAATCCAAGTTTTCGCTTATTTTTAAATCGTCCATGTTTTTCCTATCAATACTCAATGTTGTTTTTAAAATTCTAAATATTTATACAATATTATGTAACTAGTCAGTCCAGTTAAATCTTAGTTTTAAATTGTAACATTAAAAAATGACCAAGTAGTTTTACTGTTATCTTGTTTATACTTTTTTTTAAATAATTGTATGATTAGATTCAAACATACGTGGAAAGAATGTGTGGCTTAATTTTAATACAATATAAACAATGAATGGGGAAATTTGTTAAGTTGACAGTTATGCTAGTATTTGAATGTCATTACAGTGAATAAATTACAATGTGCAATCTAATAACGTTTTAAAGGCATCTATTTAACTCAAAATTATACGTATTATTAATTTTCAACGATAGAGTATTAATAGTGAAAAAATTATAGCGATTACTAGTGACAAGTTAAGGGTAGGGTATGATAATCTGTGACCATAGCTGTTTTATAAGTTATAAGTTAGCATTTATACAAAGTATTTTGTAATGGCTTATCATCAGTCGGAAGTTAAAACTTAAACAAGTCAATAATCATTTATTTCACAGTTCCTGCCACAATCTACGTTGGCAAATATTAATTGTTTTATTTAAGGTGTTTAGAAAAATGAAAAAATCAAGCGTATTAAACGTTTTAAACGAAACTTTGTAAAAAGTAAAAATTAATACAGTCAACATTAAAAGGGAGTCTCCAGAATCGTTTTTAAGAGGGAGAAGATATAAATAACATTTGTTATATTGCAGTGGGACAATATTACCGAGTAGTTTCATCATTTATAATAAACATCACAATGTTACTTAAATCGGTATTAAATGTTACAAAATTTACTACTCAAAGTACAATAATCTCCTTGAAAATATTATATTTTCGGGATGTAGAAGATTCAACAATCACTTAAAAGGTTCCACGATTCAACCTATGTGTACTAATTTATAATTGAAACAAATGTTTGATTGAACATTTAAACAAATATAATAAACACTTATAATAACTAAGAAGCATTGTTTTTTTGTGTTCTTATTTATTAAAATGTATTATATTTTATTAAGAATTAAGCCATTGTGTTTGATAAATGTATAGGAAATAAATGATAAGTTTGTAATTTTTTAAAAAACATATATATATTTTTTTTTATCGAAATGGTTTTGTAAATAAATTTACAAGTATTTTTTGACAAGTATTAATGAAAGTATTTAATCGATAGGGTGGAAGACCATGTAAATAGTATACTAGCTTACATTGTTTGCCCTTTGTGAGGTAATTTTGAAAATTTGACAAAACGATGTCGATATTTGTTATTTACATTTTATTAGAAGCCTTCTAATATATATATATATATATTTTTTTTTTTTTTTGAGCTTAAAGTATATTAAAAATTTACAAATATATTGCATGTTTGTAGATACATAAGGTTTTATGTTTTAATTTAGACTACAATGTCAGGTTATTTCTATGGTAATTTTGTCTCTAGTAATCTGTATAATTTACGCATTAGCTATTTAAGTGTCATTGGGCTGAATTATAATATTCGTATATTAAGGTTCTTAAATGCAACATTATAATATTGTGTAAATCAAATTATTTAAACTAAACAAATTTAAATCTGAACACTTCAACGAAAATTCATTATTTAATTATGAGTTAAATTTTATAAACAAATCAATATTGTATTTAAAGATTTTAATATTTTTTTTCCAATTAATAACATTAAAACTTAAACTGTTAAACTTGTAAAATGTTTAATTATAAATTATATATATTTATTTATTTTTCAGGTGGTGCTTGTGTTCATTTTAAGTATAGCTTCTCTAATAATTTATTTTATCGATGCTTCAAAGTATGTATATTGACATCTCAAAGTAACCTACATGAAAAACATTAATTTTTACCAAATATTTTAGCGAGGAAGTTGAACGATGTCTAAAATGGAGTCATAATGTTACTCAACAAGTAGATTTAGCGTTCAATATCTTTTTCATGGTTTACTATTTTATAAGAGTAAGTAAAATTAAACGATTAATACTACTTGTATGTTAATATTTTGTTCACCAAATGTATTTTTCTATTAAAGTTTTATTTTTAAAAAAAAAATTAAATACATTTTTAGAGGAATTTTAAAGTTTTTTTTTTATTTTGCATCATTAATAATATTAATGTATGCATCCAATTTCATCTAAATGTTAAATTTATAGTATTAAAAAATTCATGTTATATATTTGTACTTATTAACATATAATTTATGTGCGTTAATGTCATAAACTTGGTCAATATCGAGTTTTTGATTCATTAACGATAGAAAAGAATAAAATTTTAAGCATATTTTAAAAACTACAGAATTCTTGAAAATAAGCAACATCTGAGGGGGTTTCCAAATCGTTTTTCATACATTTTGTAGTTATCAGAACTTAATATAGAAAAGTAAACTTTATATAATTTGAATATAACTTCTTATTCAACTACATATAAATCAAATATTTTTTAATATTAATATTTTAGCTCGTTAAATAATATTTTTAAAATTAATCATGTATATAATTTTTAGTTTATTGCAGCCAGTGATAAGTTATGGTTTATGTTAGAAATGTACTCATTTGTAGACTATTTCACGATTCCACCATCGTTTCTTTCAATATATTTAGGTCGAACTTGGATAGGTAAGTATTGTCATATATCATTATTTAATTCAATATAGGTTCAACAAAAAATATTGCATTAAATGACATTTTAAAAATTTTCATGAGCAACTCCTTGACATTTAAGATAATATTTCTAAATTTTTTAAAATAAATGTTGTGCATATATAGTACATACAAGTGTATTATATATGTTTATTTTAAAGAAAACTATGGCAGCGAATGACAACTAATCTTGTTGTTATAAATAAAAACTAAAAAAAACCAATAAGATTTTAACCCTTTTATACTTATATCTAATTGTGCATAGTACATATTCCACTACTCATTTTAACTGTTTTTCTATTTATGTAACCATATATAATAGATGTTGCAATTTTACAATTTAAGTATTAATCTCCTATATTTACATAATAAATAAAATTTATCTAATGGTTATTTATAATTCATGGATTCAAAATAAAAGTGATGTACAGTCAAGGGTCCACCGCAGTGGAGTTTTTAGATTATCATTGATTGATATTTGACAATGGTAAAGCTATTGTTGTAAAACTTTCCGATGCTTATTTGAAAATAAAATTATCATTTTCGTCAAAAATTACATAATTTTTGACTTAAGAAGCCAATTACTCATTGAGAACAAGTCACTAAAACTCTTTTTTTTAATCATGTATGACATTAAATAAGCTACACTTTGAAATAATTTAGAATGATACAAGTATTTCTTTACTATAACTAAAAAATGTTTCAATATTAAGTCAATAGTAAAAATATCCAAATTGACTGTTTTATAACAACTGTAATTTTTTTGGTTTATTACGGAAATTGTAGTGAATTTTTTAAAATAGTGTTTATAGTCTTAACTAGGTAAATTTTGCGATATTTTGAAAAATTCTATCGTTGAATATAATAGGCCCAGTAAAAGCGGAGTAATTGTTTATATTGAAAAAAAATACGACGGAGTTAAACTAACAGCTTCTCAGCTATGCATCGAAACTAAAAATAATAGAGAAAATCAGTAGTAATATAATTAGTTATAAGGACACTGAAATATTAAGGAAATTTTATTCATTTGTTTTAGGTTTAAGGTTTCTTCGAGCCTTGCGTTTAATGACAGTGCCTGATATTTTACAATATTTAAATATATTAAAAACGTCGAGTTCTATTCGACTTGCTCAACTCGTATCTATTTTTATATCTGTATGGTTAACTGCAGCTGGAATCATTCACCTTGTGAGTAATTAATAAAATTTAATAACTTAAATTGCTTGATATCACTTACTATGTTAGTAACTGTAAAAAATAATTGTTTTTTTTGGGAGAGAGAGTAGTATACAAATTCTAATTAATTTGATTGAGCTTTAAATGATAAATTTCCTTGTTTATGACTAAATTTAGAATTTTAATAATTTATTGGCATTTTATATTAGTTGTTAATGAAATAAAAATGTTTATGAATTAAAAAAAAAATGATACAATTTGTAAAATATTTCAGCTGGAAAATTCAGGAGATCCTTTTGAGTTCAGAAACCAACAGAAATTGTCATATTGGACTTGTGTGTATTTTTTGATAGTTACTATGTCAACTGTTGGGTACGGAGATGTTTTCTGTCAGACAATTTTGGGCAGAACTTTTTTAGTATTTTTCTTGCTAGTTGGACTTGTAAGTAATTTTTTATGTTTTTATTATATCAGTTTATATTACTTTTTTAATTTCTTGCATTTATAATAAATAAAATGTGTTAATGTTTAGTGTTGACTGTTGCGTCTTAGAATTAAGGGATATTGCTCAATTTTTTTTTAAACTCAAAAATAATTGATGTATTAATTACATTATAATCCCTTTTAATATAACGATTTGTATTACATTTTTATTATTTACTCTCTTTACAGAGTTTTCGAAGATCTTATAAGTATGTATACGATTTATGTATACAAATTTAATCGATCTTCAAAATATAAAATATTACACTTAAAAATAACAAGATAAATTAATATCAAAAGTATTTATAAAATATATTTAGGATTTTGGCGGTGCATGAGTGTTATTGGAGTAAGATTGCTTTAATGAAGTTATATTAATTTTTTTAGTTAAGAATGCAAATTGATTGATAAAATGATTGCAATTTATTATATGTAAGTCTTTTTTAAACAACTAGACTTAACTATTTTAATAGAATTTCTTCTTATGACTGAACATTTAACAACGTGTTCATCGTAAAATGAATTTTTTAAAATAATTAAATAATTATAACGAAAAAGTTTCATAGTGTGGCAGAAGCTTTCAGCAGGTAATACGCTATCATACATCTATTATTTTAATATTTATTACATGATGTATACATTTTTTTACCAAACTCTAAAATCTGATTTTTTTTTGTCTTCGTGCATAGGTGTTGAAATAATAAGTATCCTTAAATGATTGTTTCTATAAAATTATGGAGTAAAAGGTCATAAATTTGTTATTAATTTTAACAATAATTTAAAAAATAGCAATTATAATGTTTGTGATTCTTACACTATCATTTGATTTTTAATGTGCTTTTAGAAATTATAAGTACCAATTATTACTGTTGCGAAGATTTGACTTAGAGGTGCTTGATTATTTTATAACATACATTTATTTGCTTAATAATAAAATATTATTATTTAATGATTTATAAAAGCTAATTTATAAATCGTTTTTATTAAAGATATTTTAGATAAATATGCTTTTATTTATACAAATCTTTGTGTGCTTTTCAGCTTCAATTGCGCTTAAATGGATGCATGTAAACTTATTATTGATTTTTAACATGAATTGCACGAGAGAGTATAAACACAAATTGTGTAGGATTCGAAATTAAAAAAAATAATAATAAATTATTGCTCAGCTTTAAAATGTTATAATAATAAATATTTAGAACTTTAAGACTTAAACTATTTTAACTCAAAATACCATAGCAAACATTCATGACCCTGGTTAACTTTAATCTTAGATTGTACTTGTAGTACTAATCATAATGTTATTTATCTATTTGTGTGTTTTATTATCTCTTAGGCAATATTTGCTAGTAGCATACCAGAAATTATAGAACTCGTAGGAACTAGATCGAAGTATGGTGGAAAGCTCAAACGTGAACATGGAAAGAGGTATACGTCATATCCATATTAATTCAATTATAATTAGTTTTAAAATTTCTACCGTTAACGACGTTTACCTTAAAATCATAATTTTTTTCACGGATGGCAGTTAATTGGATAAAAATAAAACTTTAATCATTTTTTTTTCATATTAATCCAGATAGTATGTTTCCATATTCATTTGTAATATACAAATAATTAATTTAAATGCAATTGTAATATTGCACGTTAGTTGAAGAAAAATTAGTTTGAATTTATTTAGTTTTGATTTATTCCTGTCTGCTGCATTAACCTTATAAACTGAAAATTGTATTTAGTTTAATACCTTTTAGTTTTATTGTATTCAGTAACTCGATTTTCTAAAGAAAGTGTACTGTAAGCTATTAGTATCATGATATTGTTTTTGTATATTTACAATACTAAATTCAACAAAATATATTAATTAACATTAAAAGTTAACATTAAATAAAAAAATTGAGTTGATGAAAATATCTTAAATGACCTTTTACTCTGAGTATAGTTTAACATTTTTAATGTAATACGTAACTCTAAATAGATTTTTATAAATTTAATTCGTCACCTTAAGTTATTGTACCGTTACTATTAAAATGTAATGAGTGCAAGTATTGAATATTCTGTGCTACTGTTTTATTTAAATAATTTTTATAATTATGAATAACGTTAAAAGCATATTTGTGTTATTTGTCTCTAATTAGAAAAGTATATATTTTTTTATTTAATGAATTAGCAATAGAAGATTTAAAGAAAATTTGTTTAGAATACTTTCTCAAAAATACATTATACAAGATGTTCTGACAACTTAATAACTTTTGATACAATACGTTTTAATGTAATTTTTTTTAAACAATATATGAATTATTAGACTATGTTAAAATAATATGTTTTTAATAATAAGAAAATAAAAACAAAATTTTTTAAAATTTCAAAATAGCCAATTTTTAGACTTTATCTTACAAAAAATGTTGATAGGTGGATAACAACCTTAGGATAAGCATTTATCGAGTTTCAAGCATTTTAATACATAGTGGGTGGATAAGTAGCATGTTTGGTTATAGTTAGTACTGTATGAGCAATCTGCTCGCGCTACGTACACGATGTATATATGCTTAAATGCTTGTAATTAAATAAGAATTTATCCTAAAGCTGTTTACGTTACATAAAATTTTTTGTAAGAAAAGAGCAAAAATGACTTGAAATTTTGAAAAAATAAATATTATTTTTTTCATATTAGAGACAAATTATAATAAAAAAAAATATGCTTTTAAGGTGGTAGTTAATAACTAGAAATTATTTAAAGAATAACGTAAAATATATATTAGGTCAAAAGTTATTACATCTACAAAACATCATATATTTACTAATATTTTTCAATTATAAGTCAATGATATAACACAATAAGTTTGTCAACATAGTAAAATATTAGTTATTTGTTTGTGTAAGACAAATTGAACCTAGTAAGAAAATCTTTTGAATAATCTTATGAATGAATTTTTTTTTTTTTTTTTTTTTTTGATCTTTATCAGCATCGGCAGCTATGGCCATTAGCTATAATTTTTACAATATTTCTTTTTTTTTTACAATTAAAAATTATTTACAATTATGTGGTATAAGTAGAAATATTTACAATTTATTTATTTATTTATTTTTTTAAATTTATATTGAAATTAAATATCTATGTACAGGTTAGAATCATATAGGAATTTTAATGTTTTTCTTTGTTCTTTTTCATCTGGGCCCAGGCTTACTGCCAATGAGTGGTCAATGCTGTTTTCTGCTCTTAACTCTTCAAATTTTATGCATTCTGTTATTACATGTTTGACGGTTTTGGCGGTGTTGCAAACTTCGCAAATTGGTTCCTCATTCTTTTCCAGTATGTGTTTGTGTGTCATTAAGGTGTGTCCTATTCGTAATCTGTTAATTTTTACTTCTTCGTTTCTTTTTAGCGAGACAGATTTTGGCCACGGTTTTATGGATTTTTTTATTTCGTGGAGTTTGGAATATCCATTTTGCCATCTTAGTTGCCATTCTTTAGTCGTGTTTTCTTTTATTAAACGTATTATATCTTTTACTGTGAGTTTCTTAATTGTTGTTGCACTTGTGTTGGTTATTGCGCTTTTAGCTGCCCTGTCTGCTTCTTCGTTTCCTTTTATGCCGCAGTGACCTGGTACCCACATGATGATTATTTCTTTACCTAGGTTGGACGCCGATATAAGTTTGTTGTGTATACTTTGCGTTAATTCTTCGTCCGAAAATTTATTTTTAATAGATTCGATCACACTAAGAGAGTCACTGAATATGATATACTTTTTACTTGGTTGTTCTAAGGTCATGTCAATCGCAGTTGATATAGCTATTGCTTCAAGAGTAAATATACTGCTTTTTGTTTGATTTGTAAGTACTATTTTACTCTTTTCCGACATTGCCGCTATGCCTGAGCCGTTTTCAAGTTTTGATGCGTCAGTAAATATGCTAGTATAGTCTTGGTATTGCTCGAGTATTGCATTCATATTGGATCTGTAGGTAGAAGGCATTGTGTCTTTTTTATAAAATTTGGTTAATTCCGTATTAATGTTAAAGTTTAAAGACCATGGTGATTGAAGAGATTTTTCAGATTTGATTATATAATCCAAAGGAATATGTTTTTCATATGCTTTTCTTTTGAGTTTTTCAATTACCTTTGATGCTGGATTGTCTCTCTGTCGTATTATTCTCGCTGCGTACACTAACTCAAGTTCTGCTGTCTTGATTTCTAGTGGAGGTATATTTGTAATATTATACATACTTTCTGCTGGGCTAGTTCTGAATGCTCCTAGAGTCATTCTTATACCGGAGTTGTAAATGGTGTTAATTATTTTCAAGTTAGATTTATTCGTGTTTTTGTATATGATTATACCATAGTTTAGTTTGGACAAAATAAGTGACTTAAAAAGTTGTATCAGTGATGTAGTTTGTCCACCCCATGCAGTATGAGATATAATTTTGAGAATATTTAAGTATGATTGTATATTTGATTTTATACCCTTTATATGTAATCCAAAAGTCATTTTTGAGTCAAACTCGATTCCCAATATTTTAATTGATTTTAGTTCTGGTAGTTCGTTGTTGTTAAGTACAATTTTTAGTGAAGTTTTCTTTCTTCTTTTTGTAAATAATATGCAATTGGATTTCTGAGGTGAAAAGCTGAATCCAGTTTTCGTAGACCACCCTTGTATGTTAGTAGTTGCTTCTTGTAAGAATTTTTGTACTGTGTTTTGATTGGTACTGCAACACATAAAGTTGAAGTCATCTGCAAACAGCGTGTACTTAACTGGAGGTTTGATATTTGTGGCAATATTATTTATTGCTATTAGGAAAAGGGTGACCGATAGGGCTGAACCTTGAGGTACCCCATTTTGAAGTTCGTGAATGTCAGATATAATGTTATTATTTTTAACTCGAAACGTTCTATCACTCAAGAAGTCTGTTATGGTATTGTACATGTTACCTTTAGAAAGTACTTTGCTTAACTGTCTTAATATT